CCTATTTAAGAGCTCTGCTTTATTACTATAGTTACCCTCCATATGCTATACCTAAGATCTGCTTATAGATCCCCTATATAAATAATATATATTATATATCAGATATAATAGCTTAGATACTAGTATTATATATATATGTACGTATGTATACCAAAATTTAGCATTAATAATTTATCCTGTATATATTACTATACTAGAAATCAGAATTTGATAGAGGTAAAAAACTATCTATATACTGTTAAATTAACTGCTACTTATTACGAAAATCTTAAATTCTCAAGTTTTATTGGATGTTTCAGATATATATTATGTAGATATGTATTTAACTTTTATCAAACAAAGTGAGTCCTCATTATGCTTCAAACAAAAATAGGTTTAACACTATACTATATATAAATTCACCTAATCTTGACTCTAAATTTTATCATACTATGTATAACAAAATCATTTTATATGCAGTCAATTTGTATCATTTTACTTTATTAACAATCATTTTGCTAATAGATCATTTGGCTAATATCATAAAACTAATCAAATACTAACTTTAAACTCTAAATAATATCAACTAAATAAACTTTTGATGAAATAACTATTTGTAAAGTAAGCAAGATTAATTTAATAGATTTAACTATATTTCTAATAAGGATATTTGTAAAATCAAGTTAGTAATAACAGAACTTTAAAAACTAAACAATCACTATAAAACAACCTTAAAAATTTTATATATACAATCATAATATGTAAAACAATTACTATTTATACTATTACTGTTACTATATAAATAATAGTAGTTCAAGTTACAATAATCAAAATATAAATAATACAAATATAATTTAGCTAATGCTAATGCCAAATAATACTTTTAATCAATATTAGTTATCTAATTTTTTTGTTCTATAATTCTTTTAGAGTATCTAGCAATATTATTTTTATAATGACTAGCTGATTTCAGTCTGTCTTTAGTAGTAATTACTAATAGATTTCTAAGCTAAATATTTGAATCTATATTTTCTTTGTTTGAATCATTATTTTCATTACTAGTATATATTTGAGCAAGCTCTTTTTCATATTTTTGTATATCATCTAAATAACTTTTAATAGTCTGAATAAACTTATGATCATGGTATAACAAGCATTTGTCAGTTGCAGCACATATCAAGCTTCATACTTTTCTGTAAAACAATTGCTTTTTTACTAAATTATCATTTATATTTTAGTCATTTGTATTACTAGATAGTTAAGGTAATTTGAAATACTTATTACTATAATTTGCTTATATATCATCTGTAAACTGTTGTTCAAAATATTTTAGCTCATTTAGTGTATTATTATAATATCTTCTTGAAATTCATCGAATATTAATTAATTTTATACTAAAGCATGCAACGTTTGTAATATTTAAAAGATAAAAATAATGCTGATATACAAGCCCTAGCTTTTGCTACAATAGGCAAATACAATAATATGATCTATTAAAAAGACAAAAAATCACATGATTTGTATTGCTTTCAGTAATTTAAAAAAATTTTTAAACTTCTTTAATATAGGATTTATTCAATTAATCTAAAAGAAATTGCACAAGCACAAGAACACTATCTGGTTTTTCATTCAAACTTTCACTCTTAGATGGTTCACTAGCTAGTGCATTTTGACTTCTTCAATGCTAGAATGATATACTATATAATAAATACATTCCTTCATTTGTCCAATCAGATATCATACAATATTTGAACACAGATAATGTATAACAATTGCTTCTATTCTTGAAAAAATTGTTATATAATTAGTAATTAAAGGAACATCCTTGACTAAATTTTTATACTGTTTTTGGTTTGTTCTATCTTTAGCTTGGTCTATAAGAATTTGATCGAGTTTACAAAGAGAAGTGTTAGTGCTTTCTAAAATATGTTTAATACACACATTTTAATTCTCTATGAAGAAAGTTGACTCAATCCTAAGAGTAAACAATGTTGCTATAAACCTTCATGCCTATGATTTATGCTATTTATATAAGTATCTTTCAAGATATTAACTTGCTAATAGATAATTATTAACTATTTTATTCTAATAGAAGTTGAAACCTTCAGGAGTATTGCTATTTCGACATCTCTAAAATGCAGAATAAAAAGCTTTGAACTCTGTATCTAATTTTTTATAAAGTATTTTTTTTAGATTCTCTTTAATGTACTATATACAAAAAGATGATAAATGCTTGAATACTCAATTAAACCTGCTTATTCTATAGCAGGGTCACCATTTGTAATAAATACAGAGAAAATTTGTTTTTTTGTTGCTTCTTTGTTATATATAATATCTATTAATATGATTCAGTAATTTTATTACTTAGAAGAGTCTAGACAACTATCTGCGATTTCATATTATTATCATAAACCACAAAAAGAGATAATAGTATATGGTAATAATTTGTTCCTAATATATTATCATAACCAACCACTTCATTAAACTTATATCACAAAATTATTTGATCTAAACTCATTCAGAAGAGACTAGTAAGAATATTTGTTTTAATCTCCTATGTTGCTTCAATAAACCATCTTGAGTTTTGATACTGTTTTGTTTGGCAAGTAGTTCTTTATAGAATTTTGCTACATCACACTCATTAAGTTAAGCTAATAGTTTGTACTTAATAGCTCTATATAGATTTTTAAAAAAAAACTAGGTAAGAAATATAATTTTGCTTTAAAATCTGTTGAATGAAAATCACATCCAAATAGTATTGTTTTATATAAAATTCAATGTTCTTATATATCTCTTTTGTGAATAACTTATTTTTTTTAAACTGAAGTGCCTCAGAGCACATTTCATAGTTATAATTATCATTAAGTGTTGTTACATAAATATAGTTATTTACATTTTGTTTGGATGGTTACAAGAGATTAATATACTACTTACATTCTATTTTAACAGATTTTTCTAATTTATTAAGGTTTATTGATAAGTATCAACTATAATAATGACAAAAAATTGTTCTTTTCTGTATTAACTTCTCATTTTCTGTATCAATCATGGTGCTTCTGCCTAATCTAATCTTAAATCTTTTAAATTCAGAATAATATTTTATATATTGCTCTGTATCATTAAAATCAGAAAATGAATCATCTTTTTTTATTGTAATAGCATCAACACTCATATTTGGGTCTTTTATATCTATACTACTACGATATACTTCTTTATAATAATTCTCAATGTTAGCTTTATTATCATTCATGATATTATATACATTAGCTTCATTATTGTGTACAACGTTATATCTGGTACTATATAGATTGGTTTCACTATTATCTACAACGTTATACACAGTATTATATATAGTGTTATACATATTGATTTCACTATTGTTCACAATATTACATAGGTTAGTTTCACTATTGTTCACGGTGTTATATATAGTATAAGATATAATATTATACGTATTGGTTTCACTATTGTCTATGATATTATATGTGATATAAGATATGGCATTATATACGTTGGTTTCACTATTGTCCACAATATAATATAGGTTGGTTTCACTATTGCTATAGATATCAACCTCACTATTAATTGCAGTATTGGTTGTATTGCTTCTGTTACTATTTCTGTTATTTTCAATATTCACAATTTCATCTATACTAATACCATTATTTTTAATATTTATGATCTCATCTATACTAATACATTCTATTATATATTTTTAGTACTGAGAATAGAAAACTAATACTGTAGGGTGTGGCGACTTAGTGAAGTGGTGAAGTTGTCGCACTCCCAAGTGGTTGAGTACAAGTTCAATTTCTACCGAAGACAAAAAATTAAATTTGGAAAAACGGATTCGGCAACTATTGTCATGGCCGGCAGTATTAGAGATCTGATATTCTCAGTGTTCTCAAGAACATTAAATATATTTTAAGAACATTAAAATTAAAAATTATGTTTTCTTTTTGAGAACATTTGAGAATATGAAATTTGTAAATTTAATTATAAAAAATTTTTTGAGAACATTAAAAAATTTTTTTAAAAACATTAAAAAATTTTTTTGAGAACCAAAATTTATAATTTATGTTCTCAAAAAATATAAAAATTTTTTCAGATCTTTAATACTGGTGGCCGGGAAAACTCGAGACCCTGTAACTGTGATCGTACTAATTTATCAGAACTGGAAGATCTTAGGGCCTTTGTGTGATGTATAAGTTACATGAATGATCTTCAGATCACAGAAAGCCACAGAGCCAATACGGCGATGTAGTGCTTACTTGAGAAGTCTCAAATAGAGAAGTAATACAGATCTTCAATAGTACTACTGGAATAGGATATACCCGAGGTTAATATAACCGAACGAGAACTGGGTATTCGGCAAGGGCACCCTACCAACCAGGCCGCCGGAGCATTGACCAAAGGAAAAAGATCTGCATACAGATACTAGTGGACTGGTGTCCCTTTCAGACTATCTGGATTGGTAGTTTGGGAAAATTAACTAGGGCGATACTGAAAGTGGAAGGTACCAAGTAGACTTAAAAGGGGTACTAGGATTTGGGTGAACTCTATAAGGGCTAAGTAGATAATGGTAGCGGCCTCAGCTCGCAAGTACTTGTCCTCGGACTCAGCATAAGTTACCAAAAAGACTAGGTATTACAGGAACAGTGGGTACCAGACTGCTCTAGCAGGTGATGCACTCGAGGATATGCCAAAAATAGTTGTTCTATAGGCAGGTAACAATGATCTGGAGGGCATGGAATGACTATGTACCTCATGCCCAAGGTGAGATTAGATTGGATTGGTATAGGATAGTTCAAGATCAGAGGGTTTAAATAGGGGATCTATAAGCAGATCTTAGGTATAGCATATGGAGGGTAACTATAGTAATAAAGCAGAGCTCTTAAATAGGCAATGACTAAAGTTGTATATGTATTCACGTGTATTCTCGTCAAATTGTATTATAACTGGGGCCTTTCAATGGCAACCAATGATTTCTAGTATATCTAATAAAAAGTACAAAGCCAAAAAGGCTAGTCTTGACTATAAAAAAAAAAAAAAAACTAATACTGTATTACTTTTATCAACTTCTATAGCATTTTTTATATCAATTTTACTTTGGTTATTGTTTGTAATATATAATGTATTTATTATTAATAAGTTTTATTGTATATTTGTAGATTTCAAGAAAAAAAAAGATTTAACTAAAAATTCATTAATTTTTTTTTATACTGCAGATTACTGTTATTATTATATTAAATAAATATAGTTTATTACATAATTTATCACCAATATACTGAGTACACTACCAATATACTAAGTGTACAATACATCAAATTACCAAACTCCTTATTATTATTATTTATTAAAATAATATATATCTACTGTATTTACTCTATTAAATTAAATTTTTTTTTTTTTGGTTTAAAGGTGAGGCCTTGCTCATATCTTTATTAGTAATTTTAAAATAGTTACAATATAGATTGCTATAATGCAGTTACTAAGATAACTACTAAATATAG